TGATCTCAGAAAGTAGTCCTTGAAATTAGTGTGGAGTTTTTTGCGGCCCATATTAGATCTCTGCAACCCAGTAGGCAACTATGGCCGTTGCCGAGTTCCCTGCTCAAAGCGCAGTGTCTGAGGATGAAATTGAGGAAGAAAACAGGCCCCGAGGCAATAATCTAAAACTCTGGGGCAACCTCACCACGATGAACCTAAACAATATGATATATACGAACATCCAACAGTCACCATATTTCAAGAGCAACCTCATCGAACTGAAAACATACCACGAGGTTATTGATGAAATTTTCTACAAAGTAGGTTTATTCATTATTATCCGCATTATTTACTGCTGGTTGAACATTTAGAGCCGTGGGAACGTGGAAGCCGTCGCATCGGATCCCAGACAGGCATGTGTGGCGGCGTTCGTGGTGTCGGCACCGGAGGGATTGTGTCGACAGCATACTGTCTCCTTTACAAGCTGTATACCCTAAAACTTACGCGTAAACAATTAAAAGGCCTTCTTGAGCATCCAGACTCACCGTATATTCGTGGACTGGGCTTCATGTATATAAGGTTGGTTTCTCATATCACCGCCTTATCTCTTAGGTATTGTCTGCCCCCAGAGGATCTGTGGATCTGGTACGCACCATACCTCGATGATACTGAGGTGCGTGTTATTTACTTGTAGGGTTGCAGCACAGGCCAACCATGCGACTTGAGTCCGGCTGTAACCGAAATGCGTAAGAACCTGCCAGCCACTCATTTTAATCCGTTATTTTGCCTGTTAATAGCTCCTCGTTCCTTTGTGTTATTAGGAAATTGACGTCAGGGCCGGTGGCGGATGCGTTATGACCATTGGAGCTATGTTGGAACAATGGCTGACGAAACTGGATTGGTTTTCTACACTATTTCCTCGCATTCCAGTGCCCGTTCAGAAGAAAATAGAAGAGAAGTTGCGCGGCAGGCGTGCCAAGCAGTTATCAGAGGGCCAGCATCGTTCTTCCAGCTTTGGTGAACCTGAACGACCAGTTAGACGCGTGAACCGCGTTGATCCTGAACCAGACAGTCGAATGCGAAAGGATCGTCACGGGTGTGCCATCTTGTTGCTTGATGCTGTTTTTTGTCGTCGTTCAATTTTAAACGAGCTTGTTTTTTGCAGATTTATGCGTACTGGGGTTTTCTTACTAGTCAAAAAATTTAGCTCTGTAACTCTGGTGTACGGCATGAATGACCTTTTAGATTGCTGTCTAGTATCTTTTTAAAAGCAAGTAGCCACCCCAGGACTGCAACTGTTATTGTTTTCATCGAGTGCAAAGCTTCATCATTTCCCACCTACTATTGCTAATAGCACTGACTTCAAAAAGTACCTGGGCCGAATTCTGCCAATAAAGAGGATTGTGTTGTTCGCATTCGGTGCGACAGCTCTCTTATAGTTAACGGTGGTTGTTGACTCCGCATAGCTCAGCATAAGATGAATCCATGTTGTTTATGCCGAACGAAAGTAAATTTAGCGTCTTAATTGCGTGATTTCAGAAAGGTTGGAATCTGCTGAAACTGTTACTCTTCCAGCTAATACTTAATTACCTGTGACTGGAACCACAGAAGCATGTAAATTTAATTTTTTCCTTAGAACTTTTTCAGACAGATATTCGATAGGCTTTGTGTAAATTGACAGCCCAAGCGCATTCTCTTCGGAGTTCGTTTATTTTTGAGGTGCTTAAGTGTTGAAAAGGCTAGTTGAACTGGCGATTACACCATTATAATGTGCGGAAAATTGAGACATGACGGACCGCCTTGATTTCCTAAAACACGCTCCACCATTGTCAGGAATATTCCTGCACAAACTCGCTTTTTTTACGGTGTCCCGACACGTCCTCACCCCCCACACTGGTTCTTATGTTCCCCAAGATCTTATAACTAGGTAACGGTTAAGTTCTCAACACTAATTTTGCTTGTAACTGGAAAGGGAAGAGTACATGATAAGCACTTGCAGTGTAAGCATATTAAAAAGTTTTTTTTACTATTCTTACTATTCATATTGTAGATCTCGCGAACGTGAGT